CAAGGGTCCATCTGACACCTTTCCCGCGAAAGGTCAAGATCGACGCCCCCAGATTCACCGGGAAGGAAGATCCGGAAATCCATCTGGACTCCTTCAACCAGAGTGCGACCATGAACGGTTGCACCGATGAAGAAAAGTGCCTTCTTTTCTTCCAGACCTTGCGGAACCGAGCCACTGAATGGTTCAATAAGCTTCGCCCGGGAAGCATTGACTCGTTCAGTGATTTGGCCTCAAAATTCAAGGCCAAGTTCCAGGAGAATTGTACTAAGAGGAAGAAATTCACCTATCTTAGTACAGCCGGGCAGAGGGAGTCTGAGAACCTTACTCAGTTCCTTACCCGGTGGAAGGAAGAGGTAGACAAGGTGGAAGAGATGGATGACAAGACCGTCCTCTCCCTCCTCTTAAATGGCTTGCGTGCTGGGGAACTATACAAGGAGTTCTGCCGGAAACCCCCAGCCACGTACCAAGAGGCCTACCATACTGCGTGGGAGTTTGCTGAAGCTTAAACCCAGCTCCGGGCAAAGAGAGAAGCTGAGCATGGTCACAAGTCCAAGCCGGTGCAAGTCAAGAAGGAAGAAGCACCGAGACCTAGCCGGCCGAGGCACCACTATGACCCGGTCATCCGAGTGGTCAATACGGAAGAATGCCAAGAAGTCCGGAAGGCACCGGTCATTCCTCTAGAAAACCCTACCGGTCAAGTAGGACGGCAGTGGTCGGGCACCTATTGTTCGTACCACAGGTCAGATTCCCACAACACCTCCGAATGTAAGAGTGTTAAGGGAGTAATCCGGCAGATGATAGACAGTGGAGAGCTGGGCAAGGATTACTTGCAGAAAGCCCAAGAGAAGAGTCATCAATGGGTTAGGCCAACTGCCCCGGGAGATAACCGGGACAACGACCGGCGGAGGAATAACCGGCCAAGGGAGCGGCAACCCGTTCCCAAAAAGGAGCACATCGGCATGATCTTCGGCGGACCTGAGGGTGGAGATTCAGCCGCGCAGCGGAAGAACTGGGTCCGGAGCATTTACGTTGGTGAGGTAAGTGCTGAACCGCCCAGGCATAAACATACTAGGAGGGAGCCTATCGTCTTTACTGACCGGGATCTCCCTCCTACCGGTGAAGATCACAATGATCCATTGGTCATCACCATGGACATTAATGGGGTGGATGTCGCCCGGGTACTTGTTGACACCGGCAGCAGTGTCAACATCTTATACCTGGAGACCTTCCAAAAACTCAGGTTGTGTCGAACACAACTTGAACCACTCAAAACCCCTCTCTCAGGCTTCACGGGGGACACCGTTGAAGCTGAAGGATCCATAGTTCTACCGGTTGAACTAGGATCAGGTGAAAAGACCGTGTGGAAGAAGATGCGGTTCATAGTTGTGGACATCAAATGCGTCCACAACGCAATTCTTGGAAGGCCAGGCATCAACAAAGTCGGGGCGGTGATTTCCATGCCTCATCTATGCATGAAGTTCCACACTCCAGGTGGTGTGGGTGAGGTGAAGGGCGACCAGAGGAACGCTCGGGAGTGCTATGCCCGGGCAGTCAAGAAAATGATCAAGGGGGTCAATGTCATCTCCCAAGAGATCACAAAGGGAGAGACCCAGGAGAAACTGGAGCCCGAGGCTGAGACGGTGGAAATCGAACTTCACCCGGGTGATTCTTCGAGGATGGTCAGAATTGGAGCAAATCTCCCCGAGGATCTCAAAGCACAGATTACGCGGGTCCTCCAAGAATACGCAGGCATATTCGCATGGAGCGTGGCGGATATGCCTGGGATAGATCGCTCTGTTATCTGCCACCGGTTGGCCGTGAGGGAGGGAAGTCGACCGGTACGACAGAAGAAGCGGTACCTGGCCAGTGACCGGCGAGAGTTCGTCAAGAAGGAAGTGAGGGACCTCCTCAGTGTTGGTCACATCCGGGATGTCAAATACCCGGATTGGTTGGCCAACGTTGTCCTTGCTCCCAAGGGCGACATATGGAGAATGTGTGTGGATTATACGGACTTAAACAAGGCTTGTCCGATGGATTCATACCCCCTTCCCAGTCCAGATCAAATGGTGGACGAAACTGCGGGGTGCGAACTCCTAAGTTTCATGGATGCCTTCAAGGGTTACCACCAAATCTACATGGCCAAGGAAGATGAAGAGAAGACGTCATTCCTCACACCCGAAGGAACCTACTGCTATCGGGTAATGGTGTTTGGCTTGAAGAACTCGGGGGCAACCTACCAGCGCATGGTGAACAAACTCTTCAAGCCACTACTGGGAAAGACCATGGAGGCATACGTCGACGACATGCTGATCAAAAGCCAGGTATCTCTGAATCACCTGGCTGATATGCGAGCCACGTTCGATATCATGGCAAGGTACAACCTCCGGCTGAATCCTAAGAAATGCGTCTTCGCGGTTCGTACCAGGAAGTTCTTGGGATTCATGGTGACCAGGAGAGGAATAGAGCCCAACCCAGAAAAAATCCGGGCTATCACTGAAATGCAAGCCCCTACCTCCGTTAGGGACGTTCAAAAGTTGACCGGTCGCTTAGCGGCCCTCAGCCGGTTCCTTTCCCGGTCAGCTGAGAGATCCCTGCCCTTCTTCAAAGTTCTGAAGAAGGCAAACGCATTCGCATGGGACGAAGAATGCCAGAGGGCATTTGAGGAGCTGAAAGAGTACCTAGCGTCAGATATTGTATTGTCTAAACCCGAACCGGGTGAAACTCTGTATCTGTACCTGGGAATTTCCCCAAATGCTGTAAGCTCCGTTTTAATAAGAGATGATGGGGCGCAAAAGCCCATTTATTATGTGAGCAAAGCACTAAACGGGGCCGAGAGTAGATATACGGCGATGGAAAAGACAGCCTATGCGCTTTTCATCTCCGCAAAAAAGTTAACATCCTACTTCCAAGCTCACCCGGTAGAAGTCTTAACTGACCAACCGCTGGGTGCAGTGTTGCGAAATTCAACATCCTCCGGGAGGATGGTGAAGTGGGCGATGATGTTAACTCAATTCAATATTGAGTACCGGCCAAGGTCAGCAATCAAGGGACAGGTCCTTGCTGACTTCTTGGTAGAAATGACCGGTCTAACTCCATACCTACCGGTCAACAAGCCTGTTGAGCAATGGTGGGAGATGGCGGTTGATGGGGCATCCGGTCCTAGAGGATACGGGGGTGGTATTGTGTTCACCACCCCAGAAGGGTTCAAGATCTACCATGCAATCGTCTTCAACTTCAAGCTGACAAACAATGAGGCAGAGTATGAAGCTCTGGCTGGAGGGCTCAGACTTGCCCAAGCCCTGAAAATCAGCCGGGTCAGTATCAAATCAGACTCTAGCCTGATAGTTGGGCAGGTGACCGGTAACATGGAAGCAAGGGAAGGACGCATGGCATAATACAAGGACCTTGTACTTGCCCTGTTGAAAGGCTTCGAAGAATTCAAGATCGGCCAAATTCCCAGGGCGGAGAACGCGGATGCAGACCTTCTCTCCAAATTGACGCAGTATGCTCCCGAGCATGTTTCAAAACTTGCCCGGGTAGAGGTCCTTGACCGTGCAAGCATCGAAAAATTGGAAGTCGCCGATATAACGGCCGGAAGCCAATTTGACCGGTCAAACTTGGTCGGGGCGGGCGACCATTGGATGTATGATCTGATGGAATATTTGATGGATGGGAGCTTGCCAGAACAAGATGACCGGGCAAGAAAAGTGAAGCTCAGGGCACCCCGATTCCAGATTATTGATGGAAAGCTGTATAAAAGGGCGTTTGGAGGGCCACTCCTGAGATGTCTGACCAACCGGGAGGCTGAGCGAGTCATAGCGGAGGTTCACGAAGGCGTATGCGCGGCGCATCAAATGTCCCGTACGCTTTCCCAACGCATCATCTTGTTGGGGTATTACTGGCCAACAATTGTCCAGGATTGTGAAAGGTACGTTCAGAAATGCCGGACGTGCCAAGTATTCTACAAGTATCCTGGTAGACCAGCTACCTACTATCACCCCGTATCAAACGTCATCCCATTCGCTAGATTCGGGGTTGACATCATCAGAGCATTCCCAGTCGCCCAAGGAGGGAAGAAGTTCGTGATCGTAGCCATCGATTACTTCACCAAATGGATCGAGGCCGAAGCATTGGCCAACATTACCACGCAACAATGCAAGAAATTCATTTGGAAGAACATCATCACGAGGTTTGGAGCACCCATGAACCTCATCACCGACAACGGCCCACAATTCCGAAATCCGAGGTTCACCGAATACTTGGAGGGCTTCGGATTCAAGCACAATCGCTCCTCGGTAGCGTACCCCCAAGGGAATGGCCAAGTCGAAAACGCCAACCGGACAATTGTGGATGGTCTAAAGAAACGGCTGGGAGAAGCAGGAAACAAGTGGCTGGAAGAGCTCCCACACATCGTATGGGCATTCCGAGTAACACCCAGGAGGGCTCACGGGGAAACTCCATTCTCCCTAACCTATGGGTGTGAAGCAAGGCTGCCCATCGAAGCTGATTTCCCAACGTTCCGGGAATCAAGTTATCAACCCCAGCAGAATGAGGAAGATCACTTGGCCGAACTCAACTTGGTCAAAGAACGGAGAATGGCCGCGGAAGTTAAAATGAGTACATACCAACAAGTTGTGAAGAAGTACCATGACAACAAGGTTGGGCCGCGGTACTTCCAAGTTGGGGATGAAGTCCTACGAAGAAGAGAAGCAAGTAGACCCGGCGATGGAGGAAAGCTGGCAAAAAACTAGGAAGGCCCATACAAGGTTAGAGCCATCATTCGACCAAGAACGTATCGATTAGAAACTTTAGATGGTGTACCGGTAGAAAGAACTTGGAATTCCCACCATCTTCGCAAATTCTACAAATGATTGTAATACTGGGCGAGGCCCAACTACATTATCAATCAGAGTGATGTTCAATACTCTACTTGGTAGCGGCAGAATGGATAGGTCGAACCTATCCTAGGGGGGCTTCCTGGGTGGATCGAATCCACTTGGATAAGCCAACTGAGACACAGACCCGGACCTGGCACGCTGGTTACTACACCGGTCTTGCTCAGTATAATAGAAAAAATATTAAAACCAGGAAGAGGGGCACGGAAGAGGGTATGCCTGCAAGAGGGCTGGACCTGGAAGAAGGTTCGAACCGTACTTACACGGGCCCATGAGATTTGACTGGTGTCGGGGAATCAGCCGGCGCCGTCAAATTGATTGGGGACTAAAAGATGCCCATTAAAAGAAATAGAAGGGGATCGTCCACCGCGGCGCATCCTGTTTCCCCCTTCTCAGGGAAGACTTGAACGGGGGGGTGAGCTAAGGCCTCCCCGGGATGGTAGAAATCAAAGGGCCATCAAAAGACTTAATCACCTGGAAGAGGGGGCACTGGAAGAAGGGTGCATTTGGACCTTGGAGAGTGTTCGAAACCATTCGACATGGTTAAATCTCCAGTATTCTTACCGGTTAAGGATACTTCAAGAATTACTAGGTTACAGGTGTTTCCATCTACAACCTACCGGTAAAAAAAAAAAAGGAATACCCCGGTCGGGTATGGGCACAACAAAACTTCGAAAGTTCCACATCGATCGAAAGGCAAGGCAGTTGACCGGTCAAACCATGGAATGGGAATTCACCGGTCAAATTAAACTTTCTCAAAGAATTTGTGGAGCTATCCAAAAGGCCAAAGTAAAGTTCGGCCGGTCAAACTTTTTAAGTTGACCACCATGATGAAGACGTTCGAAAAGCAAAAATTGAAGTTTAACCGGTCAAAGTTACTCGAGCTAATCCTTCAGATGAAGTAATCAAAGAGAACTTTGAAGTTCCACCGGTCGAAAACAATTGAGAAGTGGCCTGATTTATGTACCGGTCAGAATTTCTATGATGGTATTCTAAGAAGCAAGAGCAAAGTATATGGAAGATTAACCGGGTAGGAAAATAAACATGGCATTTAAGGCGGGAAATGTCAAATGTTTACAGATACACCGGGCATACCCGGGGAAATTGATAAGGTTTCAAGTTTTACAAAAACAACCGGGCGCAGCCGGGGAGATCCTAATCTAGGGGGAAGGGGGGAGTTGGCTCTTCTTCCGGGATTGGAGCCAGGCCATAGGATGCAGCGCTGAAGTTTGGATCTCTTCTGAGCAGTACCCGGTGAGAGGCGATCCTGTCCTTCTTTTGACCGCTCTTGAATCCGAAGGATCCAATCGCGGTAATCATCTTCTTTCATTCAGGCTCCCGGTACAGAAGCCTGAAGGACTCCATCGTCGTCTCTGGAGTCGCCGTCAGCACCCGGGCAGCTTCAGCCTTATTCTCTTCCACCCAGGCAGCTGCGCGCCCGGGGAAGGTTTCTTCCTTCTCCGCTACTTCCCTCTTGGCTTCAAAGACTTCATCCAGGAGTCGGCCATTCTCCTCCTTCAGTTGGGAGATCTCGGTCTTCATTGCCCCGGCCAGCCCAGATAGCCGGATCAGCTCATCAGCCTGGCTCCTCAGGATGAGTGCCATCTCTTCTTTCTCCCTCTTCAGCCGGTCGACTTCGGAAGGGGAACTCATCCCCAACCGGTCCACTGTGTGCGGCCCAATCTCCCCCGTCTGCACAAAAACAAAACAGACCAGTAAGTTTCTCAATCGAGAAAAAAGAAAATAAAGACCGGGATAGCGGCAGGACTTACCTCCTTCAGCCTCAGCCCCAGATTAATGAAGGCCTCTTCAATGGTGTGGACGGCCGGCTCAGGATCCGACCTTGCCCTCTTCTTGGCATAGGAAGGGTGCGTGGTGGCCACCTTCTTCACCCGACGACCGGCCTTTTCCTTTTCCTTCCCCTTAGACCGGTTGTCTTGGGGCTCATCTTCATCAAGGATTTCCACGGTCTCTGGATTGACCGGGAAGGTCCTGGCAGGATTGGCTTGGGAGCCCCCGGTCTCCCCGGCTGGTTGGTCGTCAGGGATGGCGAACTCCTCAAACTCCATATCTGCAAGAGAAGCTAAAATCGTTAAGTACAAGGAGAGACACCGGTCAACTATGAATCACAAGAAAAATGAGAAATACCTGGGTGGTTCTGGCCCTCAGCCTCTGCAGTGTTGCCCGGGGAGGGTACCCCATGCCCCGCTGCTTCCTGGGCCTGGGAGGTACCCTCACCACCCGACTCTACCCTCCAAACCCAGCTGCCTTGATGGAAGATCCTCCCGGTTAGAGGATCCCCACGCATGAGGACCTCGAGATTCGCTTCCAAGTCTGGGGAGGAAGCCGGTGCAGTGTACTCTTGGTCGAGTAGATGGTCGTTCCAGTTCAGACCGGCCAAAGGAGTGACAAAGGGGGGAAACTCGATGAAAACAAATTTTTCCTTTCATCCCCGGTTACTCTGGGGGACTTCGGAAATGAATTTCCTTCCGGTGCGGGCTTTGAAGAATACAAAACCTTCACAACCAGTCCCGCCCGGTAGGACTTCGAAGCAAAAAAGGAAAAGACGCAAAGAGGGGAAGATTTTCAGGTGGGTACAAATATTTACAAAGGAATGGAGATAGTGGTGGGCGTTAGGTGTTATTTGACCGGGCAAAATCCTAAACGCATGGCAGACTTCGGTAAGGAGGGGGCGAAGGGGAAAAACTATGCCCGCGTCTAGTGATATGGTATGGAACCCTATCCTATCCTCCCGGTGGGGTTCAACGATGTTGGGCCAGTTAGGTTCGTACAGGAGGGTATACCCGTCCGGGAGCCTCCTACGAATTTTGTTCAGGGCGATTTTGGATACACGGGAAGGGATGTCAAGGACGTAGAAGGTGGGAAGCGGAAAGTAACCGGCAGCGTAAAGCCGCTCCTCCCACGCATCCCGGGTTTCGTGTTCAGGGTCATAGGGGCCCGGTTCATCATCGACCGGGTCATCCCTCCCCATGAAAGTTTCACCGGGCATCTGATTAACAGGATGCGGGTCGGGAATAGAGGAGTTGGGAACCTGACCGGGCGTGGAGTCAGGAGAGGAAGACCCGGTCGAGGAGGAGGAGTTGGAGTCCTCAGAGGAGCGGTCCTCTGAGGACGAAATCCTATCGTTAAAAGAAGACATGACCGAGAAAGAAAAGTAGAGAAGCAAGGGGAAACTTACTTGAGTCAGAGGGCTGAATAGCGAAAGAGAAGAAATTTGACCGGTGAAAGCTCTGAGACTTGATCGCGGAAAGTGAACAAAGGAGAGGGGTGGAGGCCTTTATATAGGCGAGGAAGAGCTGAGCGAGGGCGACGTGGCTTCCTCTGGGCACGCCGCGTCAGGCGGCGCCATCATGACACCTGGGGAAGGCGAACGGACGCAGAGGAGGCGCGTCCAGCGCGCGGCACGTGTCCAGCGGATACTTTTCAAATTCAAAATTTGAAATATTCTAGCGGGAAACGGACAGAAATTCAAAATTTGAACCCATTTTCAAGATTTTTAACTTCCCGCTCATGACAAATTGCATGACCGAGAAGTGGAGGGCTTATTGATGGGTGTATTCCACCCACGACCGGTCAAAGGAAGAGACCAATTAGTTGACCGGTCAATCTCGAAAGTTTTGGAAGGGAGACTTGAATCGTCAGCAAAACGATGTATCATCGGCCAAAAGATGACCGGTATACTTCACAAAAAAGTATGTCGGTCAAACTACGTTATCGTCCTATTTATTCCAGACTTCGATGAATTCATCCCTCGGAGATTACCCGGTGTAGTGTCTGGGGTTGGAAAGTGTCGGCAGAAGAGAATCTACGAGGGCTTGGCGTGTAGCGACCCATGTCAGTAGAGGACAACTGGAGATGCTGAAGAATCCATCCAAGGCACTACTCGACAGAGGGAATAATCCCCCTCACAAGGCGACAAGGCAGCTCAAGGACGAAACCAGTCATCTCGCACCACATCAGCATCGAGCCCCCACGTGGGCGCACGTGGTCCTGTCCCCCTAGCCTAGTATAAATACTCATGTAAACCTCAGAAAGGGGGATCCGAATTCATTCCCTCTAAACTCCCTTGTAAAAGCACCCGTGCATTCTCCGTTATAATATAAATTGGGCTACAGGTGTTCCACCTAAAGTCCTACCGGTCAATCTGCGTGTTTTTACCTTTCTTACTTTGCCAAATCAAGCGAACTATTCTAGACCCGGTCTAGTATCGTTTGACCGGTCAAGTAATTTACACCATTAGATTTTATAACGTTTATACTGGATGCAAGTACTTGATCCAATTGACTGAAATCAACACTCTTTAGTAGAGAGCAACAAAATATATAACACTCATAGTGACTTTAAATTTCAGAATTTAAACTTTGGTCCATACCAAATCAACCAATGAGAGGGCTCACTATCACCTATCATCCATTTATAACTTTTATTGACATTAAATTCATGCCCTTAATGCAAATTTTGAAACGCATTTTGCCCTCAGATTAATTTTTTTTAGTAGAAAAATATAGTTCTCTTGGGAGAGTAATCCCAAAGTGAATTGTCCTTAATGTATATGTTGTGAGTTCATTTCAGGGAAAGTATGCATTCCTTTTTATCCACATCTCATATTAGTTTCATAGTAAGGACGGTATTCCAAAATATCAAGTTTTTTAATGTCCAATCTTCAAAATGTCTTTGGCAATCACACATCTTCTCCCCATTAAAAAATCATGCAAATAGTTTGAATTCTTTTCATCACTTTAGAAGGCAAAATAAAGAATCCACTCCAAGTCCAAGATTATGGGCATCTCCAATGGAGAAGTGTATATTGTTAAATATACACTTTATGCAACATTGTGAAAATAATTTCACCCACCGAGTGATAGTATAAAACTAATTGTAAAAATCACTATATTGCAAAAACTAATCTTCATCTTCTGTGTATACAAGGTAGTGTATAAAAAGTGTATTATAAACTTGGTAGAATATAGAAGATATGGTTAGAGTGAGTATAAAAAAGTGAGTGTGAAAAACAGTATTAGATAGATCTCTGGGGCATTAGGTGGAGAACTTACTACATCTTTACCACATTACTGCCAAGAACTTGAGCAAAACTTGGAGCATGGGTGCCTTGCTGCTGCCAGGGGTTTGGGGCACAGTTTGAACCAGACTTCGGGCCTGAAACCGGAGCCAAGCTTGAGTGGTGACCTTAGGGAGGCTTGTTGTCTTGAGAGGGATCCAGAACACATGCATTTGAACTCGCAGGAACATCTTGGGGATTAATAGAAACCCCTGGTCAGCCAAAGGAACCCCAATAATTGAAGCAATACCAAATCTAGGGTAGATAGCTCATACTCATACTTATAACCATTATTATGCCATTTTTTTGATGTCAAAAAACATCCCCATTCTTCCTAACCCCAAATACATCAATCAAGTCTGAATAAAAAATTACACAATACTCTTTCATGACCCACAACTCAAGCTTCTTGGTCTATGAATATTTAAACTTAAACATGTTTCTTGCAATCACTGCGATAACACATCAACCATTACTTAAATGGTCACAGACAATAGAAATAATAAATGGGCAAGGGCATAGTAGGGGCAGAAGGCCAGGTGTGCTGCTGTTTTGGGCAGAGGATTGTTGTACCTCCTTATTTTGCTCCGTGCAAAGGCAGTGAGAGTATATATCTATTACTCTTCATTGTTGTACCTTCTTGTTTTGCCCCAGTTGAAACATTTTATCTATATATCACATTGCTGTATCTGTTAGTCTTCATTTTGATCGAATGTTTTGGTTGCGGTTGTACGTTGTTGTATTAGTTAGTGCATGTAACCATTTTCATTAAATTATTAGCATCATAATATCCATGTTAACGTTTTTCTTACTTATTTTCAGGTACAATAAAATGGATTCCCAACATGATGCCAATTTGAGTCGTTAGAATTCTCTTACAAGTGAACCAGAACGCAAGAAGAGCAATAAGACAATGGGTCCTACACACATGATCTCTTAAGCTATGCCTAGGTTAAGATACAAATTTTCAAAAAGGTTTTCCAAATCTTAAATTTGTCTCTGCTTAAGGCACAACCAGAAACCGAACAGCGGACTACTTACCGTCGTGTTAGGTGGTACCCCAAACGAGTAGGTATTCAAGTTTGGTTTGTGGATCTCGTACGTAGATTTTAACCTTAGCCAGCGGATATCATACCCGCAAAGCCTAACTAAATGGGTATATCTTAGAGTTCTTCTATATACCCTTAAAATCAACATCAATTATCTAAATGGTCATTTGGATATATCTTAGAGTTTTTCTAGATACCTTTTAAAATCAACATCACTATGGGTATATCTTAGAGTTCCTCTAGATACCCTTAAATTCAATACGCATTGTAATTATCAATATTTTTATTTTTAAGCCATGGTTCAATCATTCATGATTATCATTTTAATCAGAATATTCATCAAGGTTTAATCACCATAATCAACAATAATATCATCATAATATTCAATATCAAATAGCGGCCTAGCGTAGAGTCTTAACACCCTTGCTTACCGTCATGCATCAAATAAGGTATTAGAATTAATCAAAACATTATATTTAACTTGAAAATGGTTATAATTCTGATTTATACTTGAAAAGTAGCAAAATAGGATTTTCCAAATCTTTTTTTGGACTTCATTCATTTTTGGACAGTATTGAACACGCTGTAACAGTAGCTTACTACCGCCTCACGGTAGTGCATTACCGCTATCGTGTGCTGCATTCTGGGCAGGAATAGTACTTCGTCTTCAACCTCGGTTCAAGCTTCGTAAATATAATTTTGAGTCTCCAAATTCAATTAAACTATATAGAAATGTTCTCTAATGTTCATAGATCATTTTAGCATCATTCATTTGTAGTTTTAACAACAATATCAAGGTTTATGATTCTTGGTTCTTTAAACATGTCAAGCACAAAACTGAACCAAACGACCGTTTATAAACGTAGAAATGATCTATACGAAGATTCTAGTCACTAGATATATTTACGGGCTTACCTCGAAGCTTAATGAAGGTTTTGAGAATTTTCCAGTGAAACTTCCATCGAAGAATACTCTTAGCTCCGGCAACTTCACACCAAATTGACAGCACCACTACGTTCTCCACACTCAAGGGTATTTCTCACAATAAATTTGAAGGGAAATGGTGAAGAATTGAGGCAAGAGAGGTTGGTTTATATAGGATGAAGAATGAGGAAGAAGACATGGAAGATGACCTTGCTTCTCCTGTTTCGGCGTCTCGGTGGAGGGGGCCGCGATGTTTTCGATTCCAAACGTAAGTGCCTCATTGGGACTAATTTCAGTCCTAGTCGAGGTACACTTTTTGGTCCAACTTTCTTCGAATTGAATTCTGATTGAATTGTTGCGGTCAGACAGTCAAACTGTACATAAAAATATAATTTGCATTATTTATTGGCAAACTTTCTAAATCACTTATTTTTGGGTACTTCTCAATAATTAATTAATTATCAATTAAAAAATTCTGATATGCCTATTTTCTAGGATTTACAGTAAATATGACCATTAGGGAGCTCCCTTAACGATACTCATCTAGGGGAGCGGAGTAAATAAAGTAGAGGATATTGGGAGTAAAATGACTAAAATATGGTAGAAGCGGTAAATTAGAAAGAAATTAAACCAGGGATAAAATTGGTATTTCACACCCAAATTAGATCTGAATTCAGTAGCTTTCTTTGGTCTAGTCTGCGTTTTCCTGTCTCGCTGGAATTGGGCTGGTCTTTGCATCTGGTCAGCGTCGCTGGACAGAGGGAGACACAACATCAGGTCGCCAGAGTGTCGACATCGGAGTGGACGTTGTTGTTTTGTGCACGCTGGAGGTGGAAGGTTATGCCAGGTGAGCTTGGAGTCGAGTCTAGGTTTCTAAAGGTTGGGTCGTCGCTAAATTGTTTGTCGCTGAAGCCGCCACTGGTTTGTCGCTGAAGCACGCTTAACTCTAGAGTTTCTAAGTGAAAAGCTCTCGAAGAGAAGATGCACCTTGTTGGTATGAGTAGTACTATCATTGAGCATTTCCTTTCCCCAATCCATTTATTTTCAAATTAGGGTATTACGTACACAAACCCTAAAAGAGTTCTAGTTAATTAGGTTATCTATCTTGATGGTGTTCGAAGGGACTTTTAATTCATCCACCTAAATTTAATCTAATTTACAATAAATGATAATAAGAACAAATTAGACATCATAGTCATGTTGCCATGCCAACAACGTCTCTCACGCCTACTCCACCGTATCATTGTACTCTAAAATGTAAATGGCTAAATATAGCTATAGATATTTCAAACATGACTACTTGATGCAGTTCATCACGGATACTCGTTCGAATTGCTGAAGAGGTTATTAGGTTTGAGAATTGGTGAATGCCGAATGCGGACCCTGGAGTATACGAAGATCAAAAATTTAAAGTATTACTTCCTCTATCCCAATGTATTCGTCAGGTTTAAGTTTTTTCCTGCTAAACTAGACACACCTTAATTTTGAATTACTCTCAAGTTATATTTCATATTAATAAAATAAGGTAAAATTTTAAATGTTTCAACTAGATATATCTAATTAAATCATGTTTACACTATTATGCATTATAGTGTTTAATTAATTGAGGTTCAAAGTTTGTTAGTTTGACTCGAAAAAGACAAAGTGGAGGAAAACATTAAAACGGAGGTAGTAACTCATATCCAATCCGATATTTTTGGAATATCCGATCTGAAAGTACAAAAATGAAAAATATCAGATTGAAAATCTATTTACTGGATCGAATTATGTCACATTTTGGATGGATTTTTTGGATCGAATTGTTTTAAACCCGCCTACAGAGGAACTTTGTTTCTTCTCAATTCCCAAACTTATTAAATTGAATGCTCAAAATAAGTTGAGTTTTTTAAACCCCAATAAATGTATTAAATTGAAGTGGAAATAAAGTTAGGGGGTGTACCAATCCACTCCCCCAAGCTCTGTAAAGAATGAGAGGCTCGCGTTAACTAATGTGTTATCTCATTTGCAGAGTAAGGTATGAATCTAACACTAAGATTTTTGCCTCAAAGAGCCAAGAGATGGTTACAATCATTGATAAGAGAATTAAAATAAGAGAAGTCAACTACCTGATTATTAAGAGTATCTGCCACTTCTTTGCAATCTTTCCCTAGAATGGCGTTTGTCCAATTCTTTAACCTTTTCCAACTCAAAGCTTCCTTCACTATCATTACTTACACCTCCCTTCACCAAATAAAGCTCCCTCGGTAACAAATATTCTTAGCCATAAGGAAGATACCTGAACTGTCCCGACCAATGAAACCAAGACCCACAACTTCATCAACTAAGCCCGTCGAAACATGAACAATAAATTTTAGGTACCCATGAGAGGATTCTCCCAAGTTCTTCCAATAGTTCTACAATATCATCTCGTAGTCACCAAGTTTTTCGCTAGCTGGCATTCATCAAATACAAGTCATGCCTTGGTCCAAGTACTCAAGGCAGTGCGTTTCTCCCCACGCCATACCTCTACATTCATAGTGTGCCAGATTTACCAAACAACCCCTAAAGCAAGAGACTCGTCAGCATGATTGGATAAGTTTAGAATGGTTAGCAACCAAGCACCAAATGTGGTCACACTCAGTGCACAGCATCCCATGCAGAAAGCAACCCATACTTGTCTAGCAAGGGGGCATTCGACAAAATATGAAAGATATTTGTGGGCAAATATCTTGGACGGGAATCCTCTTTGCTAAGAGGTTTCTTATACATTGTAAAACATTATTCAATGCCCTCCACATGAGATTCTAAATTTTGGGTAGGGTTCTCACCATCCAAAGCTTCCTCCATAATGTGTTGCGTGCAAAGTCACCATGCAAGTTTGTATCCCAAGTGTGTTTTGTAGGCACTTTTAACCATGTATCACCAAGATTTGTCACTAGCCCACACTAAGGTATCGTCCCTCATCGTTTACGACAAGGGGATGGCTTGAATAAGTTGCCAGTCATGGTCCTCAAATATGTCATCAATTTTTTGCCAATCTCATCCTCCATTCAATATAAAATCAGTGACCATCTGAACATCACTTTTCTTTGAATCAGTTGTATTCACTCAAGGGTGATCCTTGTCGTTTAGCCATAGGTCTTCTCAAATACGAATGTTTGTACCCGCGCCAACCTTTCGAACAAGTTCCTTTCCTAACCACCATTTGCGCCTCAAAAATGCTTCGTTATACATAACTTGGGTTGCACCCTGCCCTAGCATCAAAGGAGTATGTTTGGCATATATACTTTGCTTTAAAGACCCTTAAAACAAGCAGCTCGGGGTGATAAAAAAACTACCATGCCATTTTTCCAAGCATAGTAAGATTAAACTCTCGTACACATTTAACGTTTACACCTCAAGAGAATTTAAGTTGGCTTAATCTGCTCCAGCTCATCTAATGGATCCCATGAGAAACATTTGTGTCTTTTCTTCACCAAAATTTAGTCATCATTAATTCTAAGTCCACACAAGAAGTCTCGGGTGACAAAAAAGTGACAATGCTTAAGAGGGGATAGCTTGAAAATTTGACTTTAGTCTGACCTCTTTACCTACTTGTGATAAGAGTTTATTTTTCCATGACAAAACATGTCTCTAAGTTTTATCTTTGATGTAACAAAGGGTCTATGTGGTTGGAAGGGAGGGGAAGGATGAAAGGGAATGAGAAGGAATGTAACGCCCCAAAACATACCCTAAAATTTTTAATGAATAAATATTCAATTAGTCAAATTTGTTTTCGATTAAAATAAATAGTTATTGGGCTTTGGGCTGAAATGAAATGTGTTTTGACATCCAATATCACAAATCAGGATAAGTCTCATAAAGATAAATCCAATATGTTGACTAATTGGGTAATCTTGGTTGGGAACCTGAGTACAAACCCAAATTAAGAATAAATGAAGAAATTGTTTACTTTGAAATGATTTATTGAAATAAATCATGAGAATAAATAATATGAATTGAATATAACACCTTTTATAGTAAAGGTCAAACAAATCAGTTTTGACTCTGTCAAAGTCAAATACCCAAAAATATGATATCGGAAAAAGTATAACGAATAAATACAAAACCTATGTCGTTGAATAGAGCTTGACTGTCTGGTCGCAACGGTGCAAACGGATTTCAATTCGGAGAAAGTTGGACCAAAAAGTGTAACCCAACTGGAACCAAAATTGGTCCCAATCAGGGACACTGTGGAGACGGCGCCTCCCAGCGCACTAGAAAATTTCCTACGCAGCATCTACTTGGAGAAGTGTCCTCTTCTTCTTCACCATTCTATATAATAAGAACCCAACCCAATCAATTCTTCACCATTCTTCTTCATTTTTCCTTCTAATTATTCCTGAGAGTGTGAGGAGTATTGTGGTGCTGCCATTTTAGTGAGAGGTCGCCGGAGTTAGGAGCTTTTGTTGCCGGAAGTTTCGCCGTTCTTTCTCCGGAATCTTCGTTAGGCTTCAAGGTAAGCCCGTAGATATACCTAGTGACTAGAATGTTCATATAGATCGATTTTACGTTCATAAACGTTCATTTGGTTGAGTTTTGTGTTTGACATGTTTGAAGAACTAAGAATCGTAAACCATGATTTTGATGTTAAAACTATGAATTAATGATGCCAAAATGATCTATGAACCTTGGAGAACACTTTTATATACTTTAATTGAAGTTTGGTGAGTAAAAGTGACATTTCCGCAAGTTGGCTCGAGGTAGAAGACGATGGATAATCGATTATCAACTTGAAAATCGATTATTCATCGTTCTGCAGATTTTTGTAACAAAGCTGAGCAACAGTCGATTATCAGAATGTGATAATCGACTGTCAGCCCTCTCTGAAGTTTGATAATCGATTATCAGAGTGTGATAATCGATTATCAGCCCATTGTGAACATCAGACAGTAGATTATCAGAAGTGACAATAGACTGTCACCCTACACTATTGAAGAAAATGAAGCTAATAGCTAATAATTGAATTTTGTTAGAATAAGAGACTAACGCTAGAGGGGGGGTGAATAGCGTTTGATCAAAAATCGCAGGAATAAAAAATGAATAAATGAGAAGTAAAGAAAAGAGTAAGAGGCACACCGATTTTACCCTGGTTCACCACAACTTGTGGCTAATCCAGCCTCTCGAGAGACTCTCTCGAGCTTCACTACTACCTCGTTAAGCTTAACGGTGCTTAACAAACCCGTACAACTTGAGAATTCGAGTCACACGAACCTCAACGAACCTTCGAAGGAAACAGCCCTTCCTTCGAACAACAAGAGAAATACCTTCTCTTGTCAAGTGTTTAAGAACACTAAAAACACTCAAGAACAATACTCTGTTTTAGAGTGGATAATGAGTAAACTAAGAACGCTCAAGAACACAACACAAGCTTCACAAAAAATGGCTCTCAAAAGCTATGAATAATTGAAGAATGATTTGCAATGAAAGAGTAGGAGTTGTGAAGTAATGTGATATGTAAAACAGACCCAAACACCCCATTTTATAGTAGAAAAATAGGCTCCAACGGACCAAAGTATTTAAGGGGTGATTGGCACAATTTGTGGGATTTGATGAAAATTGGATCTGTTGAAATTCACCCAGACAGCGCTGTCCCAGGCTTGGACATCGTTGATCTAGGCTTGCGTTTTGAAAAATGGGAAGCAACGGTCATGCCAACAGCGATGTCTAAAATCCCTACATCGCTGTTTTGGCTGTTGACTTCCAAACAAGGAAAGTTTTAGCCTTAAATTCCTTCCAACGGTCAGGTCTCTACATCGATGTTCCATACTAGAACATCGCTGTTTAGGTTTGCCTTTGAAGATGGAAGTTTGGCCTGACAGCGCTGTTTCTGGGTCAACATCGCTGTCCAAAAACTTTCTGCCAATGCACAATATCTTTGGCTTAGGTTGGACAGCGCTGTAGGGAAGCCTACATCGCTTGATGGAGGACGGCCCCAAAAGACACGTCATCCGGTTCCCATCAGCCACGTGGAGGATCTTCTCTGCTCGGCCCATGAACTCGGCTCGCCCTATGGGCTCGACTCGGGTAGCGGGCTCGGCCTGGGACCGTGATAGCGACTGCCAGATAGCGACCGACCACGTTGACTGCGCGACAGCGACGGGATGAAAGGGACAACGCATAACAGGGATGACGTCCGCTAGGCGACGAACCTCGATCAGAGAAACTTTGACTATGTGTATTGTATCCCCTATAAAAGGGGTGAGACCCCTCATTGTAATGGATCCAAGTTAGAAACGAATAAACTCCTACCTTGCTCTCTCTCTCTCTCCAAAACTTATATTATTTTTCATTCTCGGTGGTTCTTGACCATCAAATTGGTGCTTTCATTGAGAGCTGAGGAACATACTCGTAGGTTAACTCCTCAACGCGAGAATGGTGCAAACCAGGAGCAACGTTCCCACCACCAGCCACGTCGGCGGCGAGGAGATCGCTCCGGGCAGTGGCAACGGCACGGGTGGCATCGCTTCGACTCTGGACGCGGTCCAGGCGCTGTTCGGGTTGGGGGTGACCACGGAGCAACTCCAGGCGGCCGTTGCGGCACTTTCCGCCATGGGTGGGAACGCGCCCGGCGCCGGGGTTGGCAAAGCTCCGCTCGGTCACCACACCGAGCATGCTGCCACTTCCCAGCACAAGGGAAAGAAGACGCGGAGGAGCAGGAGGAGGCCCGGCAAGGGCCCGCTGATCGAGGAGGTGTTGGTGGAGGACGTCCCAGAAGGGGAGGACGATGAGTCCAGTGAGTGTAGAATCTCGGCCTTCAAACGCTTGAGAGGCGAGGATACCCGAGTGCCGGCATTCGACTGGCTCAACCGCGGACCGGAAGGCCGTCTAGGTGATCTTCGCCGGCAGATCTCTGAGGGTAGGCGGAGGAACGCTGAGGAATCAGCGACCTCGGATGCGCGCTCGGCGAGACCTGAGCGAACCGAAGGCCGAAGGGACGAGCGAACTCAGCGTCGCCAGAGCCCATCCAGAACTGAGAAGACTAAGGTCCCTGAACGGGGTATGACTGAGCTTGCGCGTGAGATTGCCGAGCTCAAACGCCGAGTAGAGACAAAGTCCCCCTACAGCCAACCCATCTTGCGCACGGTAACCCCGTTTACACCGAGGGTGATGTCAGTTCCGCTGCCGACAAACTTCCGTCCGTGGCAGATCAAGGCTTACAGCGGGACGAGGGATCCCCATGATCATTTGTCAAAGTTCTACGCTTCGATGGAGGCGGCGGCAGCCCCGGACGAGCTCAAGTGCAGGTGCTTCCTCGCGACGCTAGAGGGCTCCGCGTGCGATTGGTTCAACCGGCTCCCAAAGGGAACCATTGACGATTGGGATACGCTGGCGGAGAAGTTCTTGACGCATTTCGCGGCCAACCGAAAGCAAAGGCTGCCTTATTCCCACCTGCTCAACATATGCATCCGCAAGGGAGAAAAGGTCCGCGACTTCATAGTCCGGTGGGAGAAGGAAGCCAGAGACGTGCATGGGGCGGATGACCAGGCGTTGGTTGCCATGTTCCAAGCAGCCCTCCCCCGCGGAGAGGTGAGGAAGGAGCTCCGCAAGAATCCTCCCCCCACGTACCAAGAGACCTTGGCGCGCGCAAAGTTCTTAGCCTCGGAGGAGTTNGGGATACGCTGGCGGAGAAGTTCTTGACGCATTTCGCGGCCAACCGAAAGCAAAGGCTGCCTTATTCCCACCTGCTCAACATATGCATCCGCAAGGGAGAAAAGGTCCGCGACTTCATAGTCCGGTGGGAGAAGGAAGCCAGAGACGTGCATGGGGCGGATGACCAGGCGTTGGTTGCCATGTTCCAAGCAGCCCTCCCCCGCGGAGAGGTGAGGAAGGAGCTCCGCAAGAATCCTCCCCCCACGTACCAAGAGACCTTGGCGCGCGCAAAGTTCTTAGCCTCGGAGGAGGCCGAGGGAGTTATCGCCGTATCCGTGATAGTAGGGGATGGTGCGCACAAGGCGAAGTTGAAGATGGAGTTTAAGGTTGTGAGCATCAACTGTGCGCACAACATGATCCTGGGGCGGCCCAGCCTTGAGGACTTGGAATGTGTGATCTCCCCGTACTACTTATGCATGAAGTTCCCCACTCCGTCCGGCATCGGGGTGGCAAGGGGAGACCAAAAGTTGGCCCGATCGTGCTACGTAAGAATCACGAAGAAGTTGCCGAGGGATGAGACAATGGTCGTACACGCGCAAGAGGGAATGCGCAAGCTGGAAGCTCGGCCTTCGGCCGAGCCCGCCGAGGAAGTCGAGGAAGTGCCGCTCGACCCACAAGTGCCCGAGCGGAAGATTAAGGTCGGGGCGACCCTGACGACGAGCCAGCGGATGCGCTTGGTGGAAGTGCTCGACGCCTACCGCGTGATCTTCGCGTGGGGACCTGGGGATATGCCGGGGGTGGACCCCAAGATCATATGTCACCGGTTGGCGGTCAACCCGGAATCTAGGCCGGTAAAGAAGAAGAAGCGTTTCCTCTCGTCCGAGCGGAGGGAGTTCGTCTCCAAGGAAGTGACCACCCTCCAAAGCATTGGGCATATCAGAGAAGTTAAGTACCCGGAATGGATGGCGAACGTAGTGTTGGCTCCGAAGGGAAATACATGGAGGATGTGTGTGGACTACACCGACCTAAATAAGGCATGCCCCATGGATCCATTCCCACTCTCGAACATCGACCAGCTGGTGGATGAGACGGCGGGTTGCGAGCTCATGAGTTTCATGGACGCCTTCAGCGGGTACCACCAAATCCGAATGCACCCTGAAGACGAAGAGAAGACGTCTTTCACTACCCCCGGTGGAGTTTATTGCTACAAGGTGATGCCTTTTGGACTCAAGAACGCCGGGGCAACCTACGCTAGGATGGTGAGCAAGCTCTTCGCGCCCGTCCTCGGGAAGAGCATGGAAGCGTACGTCGATGACATGATTGTGAAAAGCAAGAAGGCAACCACCCATGCGGAAGACTTAGAAGGAGTTTTCAAGATTATGGAGAAGTACAACCTTCGGCTGAACCCGAAGAAGTGCACGTTCGGAGTTCAAGGCGGTAAGTTCTTGGGACACATGGTGAGCAGGCGCGGTATTGAGCCCAACCGCGAGAAGGTGCGCGCCATCCTTGACATGGAAGCTCCACGAAATGTCAAGGAGGTGCAGCGCTTGACCGGAAATTTGGCTGCGCTCAGCCGCTTCCTTTCCAAGGTAGCGGATCGAGCCGCTCCATTCTTCCAAGCTGTGAAGAAGTCCCAAGGGTTCGTGTGGACGGAAGACTGCCAGCAATCCTTTGAGTCTCTGAAATCTTATCTCCTCTCTCCGCCGATCCTCGCTAAACCCGAGCCCGGAGAAACCTTATATCTTTACTTGGGAGTGTCGCCCAATGCACTAAGCTCAGTCCTAGTCCCGGAAGAAGGCGAAGCTCAGCACCCAGTGTACTACACGGCGAAGACGCTGAGGGGTGCCGAGCTCAGGTACTTGGTGGCCGAAAAGACAGTGCTGGCCGTGGTTTCAACCGTGCAGCGGCTGACGCCCTATTTCCAAGCTCACCCGGTCCAGGTACTTTCCCAGCAGCCTATAGGTGCGTTGCTCAGGAGTCCGAACGCGCCCTCTCGCATGTCCAAGTGGGCGGTGTTCCTTGGAGCCTTCCAGAATGCACCGCCCGAGAAGAGCCGAGCCCGGAACTTGAAGCCGACGGCTGGTGGACAGTTTTCACCGACGGCTCCTCCGCCGCCAAAAACTCGGGGGGTGGAGTGGTAGTCATCGCTCCCGAGGGCTTCAGAGCATATTACTCAATCCGATTCGGCTTCAAGGCATCAAATAATGAGGCGGAGTATGAAGCGCTCTTGTGCGGTTTACGTCTGGCAGCCGGGATGAACGCGACGAAGCTAAGGATAAAGTGTGATTCGAAGTTGGTGGTTTGCCATGTGTTGGGAGAGTTCGAAGCGAAGGACGAAAGAATGAAAAAATACAGAGATACGGCCCTAGAACTACTTAAAAGTTTCACCGTGTATAGTGTCGAACAGATCCCTCGGGCGGAGAACGCCGAGGCGGATATCTTGTCGAAGCTGAGCTCAGACACGCCCAAGCACATCAGGCGAATGGCGAATGTGGAAGAGCTTTCCGAGCCGAGCATCCACGCTTTCCCCGTGGCAATGATCTGTGCTCAACCCAGAGATTGGACGGACGACATAGTCGCCTTCCTAAAGGATGGCACCCTCCCAGACGAATTGATGAAGGCCAAGTTGGTCCGGACAAGGGCACCAGGGTATACCTTGGAAGGCGAGAAGCTATACAAGCGAGCATACAACGGGACGCTACTCAGGTGCCTTCGACCAGCCGAAGCAAAACAAGTCATGGAGGAGGTGCACGCCGGAATCTGCTCCGCCCACCAAGGAGCGTACGCGGTATCAAGAAAAATAACCCTTCAAGGATATTTTTGGCCAACAATTGTTAAGGACTGCGCGGAGTTCGTAAAGAAGTGTAAAGTGTGTCAAGTGTTCCAGAAGGTACCAGGGAGGCCTTCAACCAACTACACCCCCATCAGCACAGCCATCCCGTTCGCGCGGTGGGGGCTGGATCTTGTGGGTGCACTCCCTAGGGGCACCGGGAACGTGAGGTACGTCATCGTAGCCATTGACTATTTTACTAAGTGGGTGAAAGCAGCCCCATTGGCAAGTATCACCGGAGCTCAATGCCAGAAGTTTCTCGCAAAGCATGTCATCTGCCGCTTCGGCGTTCCCGAGCACATAATCACGGATAATGGGACACAATTCGAGTCCAAGCCCTTTAACGACTTCCTTGGGAGCTGGGGGATCAAGCACAGCTATGCGTCGGTTGGGTACCCACAGACGAACGGCCAGGTCGAGAACGCCAACCGAACGATAGTCGACGGGCTGAAGCGGAAGTTGGAGGCCTGCGGAGGGGAGTGGGCAGAGGAGTTGTCGTACATCCTATGGACCTACCGGACCACGCCTAGAAGGGCGACCGGAGAAACCCCCTTCGCCTTATGCTACGGGTTCGAGGCGAGGGCCCCTGCAGAGATCTCCATCGCAACCCACCGGGAGGAGATCTTCGACCCCGAGCGTAACGAAGAAGCCCTGGCAGCCGAGCTCCATCTCGTGCACGAGAGACGAGAAGCAGCCTTCATACGAGCGGAGAATTACCGAAGGAAGGTAAAGAGCTACCATGACGGGCGTGAGTGCGCACGGGGGTTCATCGAAGGAGAGTGGGTGCTGCGCAAGAGGTTCGTGAGCCGCCCCCCTGGAAGGTGGGAAGTTTGCCAAGAATTACGAAGGCCCCTACATCATCAAAGAAGTGGTAGGCCCCTCAACGTTTCGCCTGCAGACGCCGAGTGGAGGGGATGTGCCAAGGACTTGGAATGCTGAGAACTTGGTTAAGTTTTATCAATGAATTTCGAATGTACACGGGCCCGAGAAAGGGAACCCGCAACACCATGATTGAATTCAATGAAATGGAATTTTTTGCAAAGGTCCAACATGCGTGTCCGGATGCTCTTCCCGGACAAAGGCCTAACCTGCGTGTTTGGCACTACTCCTCAGTAGAAGAGCCGAGCGCAGACCATGTCCGGATGCTCTTCCCGGATGAAGGTCTAACCTTCGTGCTCGGCACTCCCCCTCAAGAGAAGAGCCGAGCACAGGCCATGTCCGGATGCTCTTCCCGGATAAAGGCTTAACTTGCGTGTTCGGCACTACTACTAAGTAGAAGAGCTGAGCGCAGACCATGGCCGGATGCTCTCCCCGGGTGGTCTAACCTTCGTGCTTGGCACTCCCCCTTAGGGGAAGAGCCGAGCGCAGACCATGTCCGGATGTTCTTCCCGGACGAAGGTCTAACCTTCGTGCTCGGCACTCCCCCTCAGGGGAAGAGCCGAGTGCAGACCATGTCCGGATGTTCTTCCCGGACGAAGGTCTAACCTTCGTGCTCGGCACTCCCCCTCAGGGGAAGAGCCGAGCGCAGACCATGTCCGGATGTTCTTCCCGGACGAAGGTCTAACCTTCGTGCTCGGCACTCCCCCTCAGGGGAAGAGCCGAGCGCAGACCATGTCCGGATGTTCTTCCCGGACGAAGGTCTAACCTTCGTGCTCGGCACTCCCCCTCAGGGGAAGAGCCGAGCGCAGGCCATGTCCGGATGTTCTTCCCGGACGAAGGTCTAACCTTCGTGCTCGGCACTCCCCCTCAGGGGGAGAGCCGAGTGCAGCCCTTAAGGCTAATGGAGAAAAGCGAAAAAGACTTAATCAAATCCAAATTTTATTCATCCCGGAAAACGGGCAAATACATGGCACAAACGCCTTACAACAATTAAACACCTTGCAATTAAAGTACGGGTAGACTTCAGTGCATGCCACAATTCCACCCCCGCTCGCAAAGACAAGGTGGGGGCTAAGAAAGTGAAGGAGCCCGACTGGTGACGGAGTGCCCGTTGGACTCGTCATAGCTGGGCGAGCCTGGGTCTTCAAGGGAGCAATGGCTCGGATGGTGGGATGCCACGGAGCTCTCGCTTGGGATCGCTGCGAGAGGAGGCGGAGGGCGGCGACCTCGGCCACCGCGGGCGACAAGAACCGGGGGGGCGACGACCTCACGACGGACCGGCGGAGCCATTGGAGAAGGGGTCCTCTCGTCCTCCTCCGACAAATAGTAGATGAACCCTGGGATCTTGGCAGAAGGATCGAGGTGCACCAACTCGAACTCAGATTCCGAGTCCCAAGAGTCCCGTAGAGAGGGCGGCGGGGTCGAGCTCGACCCAGATTTGGTCCGTATGGCAGAAGATCCCCCGAGGGAATAGCTACCAAAAGAAAGCGTCTCCCCTCCCATCTCACTGGAATCGGGGGGAGTGGGGGCCGAGCGCGGCATGCCAAGAGTTGCCATACCGAATGGAACAAATCGTGAGAA